CTGCTGGTTCGTGCTTCCCACGTGAGATTTGTTGCTTGTTCAGTCTTTGTTATTTTCTGAAGTGATGCCACTTTGATAGAAAAACCTGTCCCCTCGAGGGCTGCATCACCCCTCATTTGGCTAAGAATCTCTTTGATACTGACTAGAAGTTAATGGTGAAGCCTTGCCATTTATTGCGTATTTATAAAATATTCATCTTAACGTCTCTCCCTTTCTCTCAACTCTCTTCCCTTGTGTTTTTCCCTCAGGAGCGCCGAGTGAGTCTTCATGTTTATGGAGTATGGAGAAGATGAGGGCCTATTTTTGCCTGATTAAGACTCTTAAGCCTTGTATGACACAGGAAGCAAACACCATCCTGAGCCGCTACTATCAGCTGCAGCGACAGAGTGACAGCCGTAACGCCGCCCGGACGACCATCCGCATGCTGGAGAGTCTCAGCCGTCTCTCTGAGGGTCAGATGCTCACATGCAGCATAATATCTGATCTCCCTCCCTCTACTTTTCCACAGAATTTCAGTTGTTATTTGCTAAAAGCCATCTGTAAAAATTGATGCCCATCTGACCGTCTCCCTGTGTGTTTCAGCTCATGCCAGGCTGATGTTCAGAGAGATGGTGACAGTAGAGGACGCAGTTGTTGTCGTGTCCGTTATGGAGTGCTCCATGCAGGTTTGTTTATTACTACTCCATCAACTGGAAGCTATTTTAAATTGTTGAGAACTGGATAAGCATGTTTTTATGTTTGCCTCAGGGAGGCGCCCTACTTGGAAATGTGAATGCTCTGCACACCTCTTTTCCTGATGACCCCTATGAACAGTATACAACACAGTGTGAGATTGTGCTTGAGAGGCTGGGATTGACTGATATCCTACGCAAAGAACTGCAAAGACTTTCAAGGTAAAACTGAAATGATTAATTAATTTATAAATTAATTAATAGAGGGCACTGTGTATATATATATATATATATATATATATATATACAGTGCCCTCTATAAGTATTGGAACAGTAATGACAAAATTGCTTTGTCTGCTGTGGAGTCAAGACATCTGAAAATATGATTAAAAGATGAATATGAGACAAAATTACAGAATGTCACATTTTTATTATTGGGTGATTCAACACAGATGTTTTGCCAACTAAGAAGATCAGCACTTTTAGAGTTTCATCCCCTATGTGATGTGAGCATAAGTATTGGAACAGTTGACTCTCAGGTCTTTCTAAGTGATCAGCTGTGTCCTGTTGCATTAATTGTTCAGATATTAAAAGCAGGGAATGTGGTGTATCAGTTATAGCCATTTCTTCTGCATTCTGAGTCTTGCATTTGATGATGACACGCACAAACCAGGATGAAGACGAGGCAGCTGACTTTGAGAGTCAAGCAAGCAATTTGGATGCTAAAATAAAAGAGGAACTCTTATCAAATTAGAGCTATATCAAAAACAATGGGCATGGAGAAATCAACAGTTTGGAATGTCCTGAAAAAGAAAGAAACCACCGGCGACTACAGCAACCAACAACGACCTGGTCGGCTGAGAGAAACAACAGCCGTTGATGACAGAAAAATCATAAAAGCTTGTGAAAAAGAACCCTAAAATAAGTGTCTGTAAAATCACCAACGACCTCCAGAAAGCTGGAGTGATGGTCTAACAACCTACTGTCCACAGAAGACTTTGACATAGAATTACAGAGGCTACACAGCAAGATGCAAAGCTCTGACCAGCACCAAAAATAGAAAGGCAAGATTAGAGTTTGCAAAAAAGCACAAAGGTGAGCCAGAGTCTTGGAACAGTTTTATGAACACTGTTAAGGGATGGGTACCAATGTTCAAGAAAATGCCGCAAGACTCCTCAGAAGTGCTTCATATTGCAACAGGACAGTGACCCAAAACACCCTACTAGTTCAGTCAAGGAGTTTATCAGGTCAAAGAATTGGAAGGTCTTAGCCCAAGTCAGTCTCCAGATTTAAATCCTATTGAACATGAATTTCACCAGCTAAAGAGGAGACTAAAGCCCCGTTCACACCAAGAACGATAACTATAAAGATAACGATATTAGCGTCCACACCAGCGAACGATATCGTCTGTTTATTCTAAGCGCACGCTCGTCTGCCGCTTTAAATTCTTGAGCTCGTTACAGCAGGATGGATTCTGATTGGTTGTCAGTGTTTTATCGTTCATCAGCTGGAAAAAAAATCTTTTGAAAGTGATCACAACGATATCGTTCCTCTGTATCTTTATCGTTATAGTTGTGGTGTGAACTCTGCTATTCTTTAATATTGAGAATGATTTTTAGAACTATATCTTTATCGTTATCTTTATAGTTATCGTGTTTTGTGTGAACGGGCCTTAAAGGCAAAAACTCCCCAAACCAAGCAACAGTTTAAATTGGCTCTATTAATGGCTGGGAAAAGCATTTCAATGGATGAAACCAAGAGTCTGGTGATGTCTGTGGGTGGCAGACTCACTGCAGTGATTGCATGCAAGGGAAAGTTTTATGTGCCAAAACTTGAAGTTTAATTTTACAAGACATTTTTTCATTCTCCTTCTGACACTTAAAATCGAACATACCGTTTTTGCTACAGCTCCTTTAATATTTCTATAATTAAATCACCTCTGTTATGATTGCATTGCCACTGTTTCTGCTGAATACCAAATAGGTTGTAAACAGCTGGGCGGTCATGTTAATTTCCACATGGTTTTGACCTCTTGACCATGATGATTTATGAATGACCCTTTTTTGCATCTTATTTTTCGTAAATGGTATGGGTGGAATTGGGAGCCCTAAATTTGCCTTGTTTTGTTTCAGAAAAGCATCAAATAAGCAACATATAGCAGAACTGTGCAAGATAATCAGACCAGTTACAGTTAACTTAATAGTGAATATTTCATTGCCATGCAGTGATTTGCTGTTCAACAATAGTTGTATTCAGCCAACAAAAATAAAACCAGGCTAAAGGTGCCTTTCAGCCCATGAAAAGACAAATAACCATCAAAACTGATGCTTTAATGCTTATTGGATGCTGTAGATGTTTTCAAGGTTGAACAATTCATCTCTCGGGAGCAATGAACGACACCTTGGTGAAGAGATGTTGTCTATTGTCATGGTGACAGATTGCATTCCTTTGGGAGTTTAGGGATGAAGGTACTGCATTCGGTGATAATAGGATCATACAGGATCTGCTGCCGTCCCCAAGGTCAAAATCATGGATTAAGACCGTTAAATCAAGTATACATTTTACTTGTTTGTCATTCAAACCTCTTTAACAGCAAGCAATTTCCCCTCCTTTGTGTATTGCTGTTTTATAAGGAAATTAATCTTTTTAGACTCTGTTCTAAGGTTACTGGTGTGTGAGGGAGTGTATGATATCTATTTTTATACACCTAGCTGGTGTTTGTAATAATGCTGTATTTCTTAAAATAAGGAAATGCTTTAGATAGACAGATAGACGGATGGATGGATGGATAGATAGTTACATGCAATTTTACATATTCCTCAACTTTTTTTTATTTTACATCTATTTTACAGAATTTGTCCTGTGCAAAATTTTAAGTTACATTTGTTTAAGTTTTTTTTTTTATTTAACATAAATCTAAGGTTTTATCTATTTATCATCAGTTATAAAGAAGTTGCTGTTTATATGTAACTTTAACGGATATATTGATAGATATATAGTTTATATAGTTACATGCAAATTAACATATTTCTTTTTTTTATTTTACATATATTACATGCAAGTTTAAATAATGTTACAAAAGCTGAGCAGACAGACAGATAGATAGACGGATGGATGGATGGATAGATAGTTACATGCAATTTTACATATTCCTCAACTTTTTTTTATTTTACATCTATTTTACAGAATTTGTCCTGTGCAAAATTTTAAGTTACATTTGTTTAAGTTTTTTTTTTATTTTACATAAATCTAAGGTTTTATCTATTTATCATCAGTTATAAAGAAGTTGCTGTTTATATGTAACTTTAACGTATATATTGATAGATATATAGTTTATATAGTTACATGCAAATTAACATATTTCTTTTTTTTATTTTACATATATTACATGCAAGTTTAAATAATGTTACAAAAGCTGAGTTACATTAGTTTTTCAAAAGGTTTTTCTCAATTTATCACCAAAGTTACTAAGAAGTTAGCTTATATATATATAGATGGATAGATAGATATGTATGAACTTTTTTTAACCTACATAAATGCAACGTTTCAGCAGAGAATGTAATGCAGTTGTCCAGAGAATACGATTGTAAATGGAAATTCTAGTCAAAAGCATTTTGCTCTTCAGGTCAGAAGGTGTGAAGTTTGCAGTTTCCCCATCAGGTTGTTTTGACAGTTTCGAAAGCCAGAAGTTTTGTCAGAACCACATGTCTGAATGGTTTTGGTGTCTTAAGTGAACGTCTGAGCCACTGCACATCTAAAGTAGCACCTTTCTTTAAACTCTATTCTGTTCTATTCAGCAGACATGGAGTTTTGTTTGGAAGGACCTGGGATTTTCCTTTTAGGCCTGAGCTAGAACACATTTCTTTTAAGGTAAGCAAGGAAATCTTTGAGGAACCGTCATTTGTACTGCTAGCTGTAATTCTGTTAAGATTAATAAGAAAGTGAGTGGTTTGGTACAGGTAATGCAGGCAGCATGATCTTCTGTTGCACATGATCATATGAACAGGACAGAACGGAATGTGTTGCTCTGACAGTTAGGGGTGTAGCTAGATTACAAAAACCCAGAGGTGTAATATGAATGTTGTTTTTGCAACACTTCACCTGGAACGCTTCAGGGGGAAAAACAACAATCACTGCAAATGGCAAGTTTATAGGAGATGTCATGAAGCAATCTCTATTCTGCTTTAGAAAAAGCAATAGTTTGAACTATTTTTGTGATAAATATAAGCATGCATTTGTCACATTAAATGTGTGTAAAGTTGGGCAACACATCCTCCTCTGTACGGTCAGCCATCGCCTGTTAACTGGAAAGAAATTTGCTGATCAAGAAACACTGACTCACACATTAGAAAGTTTGTGAAATTTGCAACATCTTTCTGGGTTTCTCAACAGTTTTAGGAAAATTTTACTCATAAATGAAAGTGCTGTTATTGGGTACTAACTAACAGCAAAAACCTGTATTTCCAAAAGTTTTGAAAAATCATTTATACAGCTTACAGCTCCAAAAAATATCAAATTTGTCCACTTTTTTTTTTTTAAGTTGGTCACTATGAACTGCTGTTGGTTGCCAAGAGCTGCAAAGCGATTCTTGAAAAAGATCTTCCTTTGTGCTCAACTGAAAGAAAATCAAATGGGTTCTGAACACCATAAGAGTGAGTAAATGATGTAGAATGGTAATTTTTGTGCAAAATATTCAATGTATACATGCTTTCAAGTTCTCTTTTAGTGCCAGATAATTTATTTTGTGTGGCAAATGTTCTGGAAGAGAATCAAAGTCTGCTCTAGTTCCACAAACACTTCATAAAGGTCCATAGTCAATTGATCTTTGACTATGGTTTCTAGCATAGCTGTTGAGTCCAGACGCCTCCTGCTGGGATGTGTTTAACAAGAGTCCCACTAGAGTGCCTTTGAAAAACTACAAAGTCAGAAGTCCTGACCTTTGCAGTTCAAATAGGAGCTAATGTGCATCAAACAAAGACCAATATTTTTATTTCTTTCCACAGTTAATTCAGGGAAGCATCAAAACCTAAGAACCAAATGAATGTGAGTTCACAAGTATCCGAAGCGATCATTTTAATGACACTTGAAAGCAAGTCATTTTGCCACATCTATTCAAAAGTGTCTGTGATGCGTTTCATGTGATCTCATTGGCCGACTGAGTTCCCCACAAGGTAACGTATGCTTAGCAAACACCACTTCCTCCCGCTACTTCTGCATGTGCC